TATGTTGATTTCTTTTTGTGTAGTGGGTTTGCCTGTGAGGTGCCAGGGTGCCAGTTCCAACTCACACTGACTCTGTGGGCACAGAGTGAAGCGTTCCCCAGTTCTGTGCCAGCTCCACAACTGGGTTTGCCGGGCAACATGTAACTTCAAGCTTTTTCTAAGCTAAGTAAAATTTAGGTTTGGTTTTTTGCTTAAAAAAGATAGAAAACAAACCTAAAGATAAAATTTTTAAGCTGTACTTTAGCTACAGCTACTTTTTCCTTGAGTAACCCAAATTAAATGACATAAAAGTACATGATAGGAGCCACAAAGTAGCTTATAAATTTTACACTGCGGATCCTTCTCTTATTGATCAATGGTAAAGAAATAAAATTGTAGAAGAAAATAAGTCATTTTTTATCTATGTCCATGTTAACAGATGGTCTTCAACATCTTTTTAAATTATACACACTGTATTCTTTTTAATGTTCATTTCTGTTTAGCCTGAGGTGTTTCATACATATGTGCCTTGTGACTGTTGATGCTTTAAAGGGGTACAGTGCTCTTTGGACGATGAAGCTGTTTCATTTCTTATGAAATAAATCTACATTTGTGCGTATATAATGCATCCAATAGCCAGTCTCTTTGTCTTTTTTAAAAAAAAATAAACTAAGCATAGTCATTTCTTGTTTGGGGTTTTTTATTTATTTGTTCTTTAAAGAAAGATTAAATTCTTCATACCCAACCAAAGGATGTAGAGTCTTTTAACATTCTTGAATTCTATCTGATATAAGCATTGGCCACTTCTGGTTACAAAAATGTCATTGCCATTATTTTATTGGCAGAAAATAATACATTTTTAACTACTTTTATACTGTTTTCTAAATCAAAATAGCAACATGTAGTGTTCATTGTTACTTTTCAAAAAAGTTCATTGTTACTTTGGAGAAGAAGATGATGTAAAGCACATTACTTAAAACACACTAAAAGTTAAATAAAAAACTGAAACATTTAAAAACTAAATGTGACCATAATTTAAAAGCACTCAATAGAAAAACATCTAGTAGATACAGTAAAATTTGGGTGAAACAGGCAAAATGCTAAGAAAGTCATCTCAATATAAAGCAAGTTGCAATTAAAAATAACTAGAGACACATGGCAGGAATTGTTCCTGCCCTGAGCCCGCTATGCTGAAGCCAGCCACTGGAGGCATGCAGCAGAGCAGAGAGGGGAACAGAGTAATGAAATCCCCAGGGATAGATGTGGGGCCAGGGCATGGCACCCCATCAGACTTGACTGGAAAGCACTCGGAAAAGACAACAAATAGACCCTGAACTATTTATAGCATTGTTGTTGTTGTTATTGTTTTACTTTCTATTGTTGCTTTGTTGTACTCAGTCCTGTGATGGTACAATTGTTGTCATTGCATGTCTACCTGGAAGGAATAGGCGGGATAAAGCTGGAAGAGAGAACAACAGGATGACATTTCTGGGGCGACATGGGAGAGGGGGAAGTGGAGGAAATGAAGTGGGTGTTAACAAACCCAGGGACAAGGGAACAACAAGTGATCCAAAATCAGTGGCAAGGAGGGTCTAAGGTCTGGCAGGGCTGAATCAAGGGCAGTGTAACCTAGAGGAA